GGGTGTTGGTCGAGATGAATGGGAAGGGGGGGACTGCTGGAATCACATCCCGTGTGGAGAGAAAGTTTGGGCCCATTTCCTACGGAATTCAGCGCGATGTCTCACTCCACAGAGCTGCCACATCAATGGGAAATTTTCCTATCAAGCCGAACGCGAAAGGGAGGGTAAAATCAACACTCGCTTCCCCATCGGAGCGTCTCCATCGCAAAAGCCTCTCCCGCTCTATTTATACGCTGGATAAATCAGTCTCCAGACTGTTTCCATAGATAACGGAGTTCTTCTCCTGCTGTTGTCTCGAACAGCTTCTTTCTCCCCCCACTATATTTTGCACGGTTCCTACCTATCACCTCGGTGAGTAATTCTCCTGCTCTAAACCAAATGACTTGGGAGCGAGCCGGGATTTTCAAGCAGAGGGAGATTTTTCATCCCCCCCCTTGCTGAATTTTGCTCCTGATAACCCCGAGAAATCCTGCAGGAAGGGGAGCTATAGGTGACTGCATCTGATCCCGATGTTTAACCTTGTTGCAGTCTCCAGGAATTAACTATTTAGGAGGTGAGCAGCCGACACAGGCGTCGCTCCAGGATAACACGGCCGGGCTGTTTCGCAGCGACGCCGATGCTTCCCACTAAAAAAAATCCCTAATTCTCACTACAGAGCTTCTCCAGGAGACATTGCCACGGGATGGGATCTTTATTTGAAATAAATAACTTAATAAATGCAACGGGTCCCTTATTTCGGGGACCAGTGGATGCAGAGTTTCCCCTCCCAGGGATGGGGTGTTAATGGGATTTGCTGCTCCTGGTTGGGGGGCGAGGAGGGTTAATCCCTTCCTTCATGTAGATCCCTGCTAAGCTGGTTTAGGTCATGTTTAGAGTTAAAGTTTTGTGGTACAGGCTGTGTCCGTCCATCCCGCAGTGCAGGGCACAGGGATGAACCAAGCTCCCATCTCACCTCCCAGCACTTAAAAATTCAGTTAAGTGAATTTTTTCTCTCAAGGGTTGAGAGAAATTCAAAAAACGGGGTTTAGATTCCACCAAAGCGGTGAAAAAGCTCGTAAAGTCTTTTAGAAACCCTGCGTTGTGGCTCAGGGAAAACTCCCAGCGAGGCCCAGAGCCTTTTGTTTGCTGCAATGGGATTTATCAGGGAGCGGGGAGCGCAGGAAAGGGAATTTTTTTCCCCCCAAGCCGGGTGCTCAGCACCCACCTGCAGGGACCCATTCCCTCGGTGTCACCTCTGCCATCGGCTCCAGCTGATTGTGGGGATGTACCTTTGGGGTTTGGAGTTGTTTTCTAAAGCCCATCATCCTGGAGGAGCCTGCGAAGTGTTAAATAGCCTCACCTGACCTCCTCCAGCAGAGCCAAGCTCTGCATCCTTATTTAGGGACATACATCACCTCCACAGCTTTTCCTCTGGCGCTGGGGGTGGAGCAGGGAAGTGAAATGTCGTGAAGAAAAAAAAAAAAAAAAAGAAGTAAGTCTAAATCCATCCGAATTTGCCTGGAAACCCTTTTCCCATCCCAGCCTGCCTGAGTGAGAATCCCGGCGATCCCGGCTGGGATGCGCAGGAGGGCCGGACACATATGCCGTGCCATATGGAGCGGCGCGATCCTGGTCAATCGGATCTTTGGGAGTTTTATCGTTTAATTTCTTAATGTGCTAATAGTGCAGAGGGAGGGGACGGATCATCAGTTAAGTCCAAGGATTTATGTTTTTAAGGGAGCGTAATGTATTTTTGAGCGGGTCAGAGTGGGCTTTAAATATCCCTGGCCAACGTGATGGGCAGGAGGGTGAGCTGGAAAAGACTCTGGAAGATCCCTTTGAGCTTTAATCCAGTGCAGGTTTATAACACGGCATCCAGCTCCGTGTGAGCTGAAATTCAGGGAGAAAATCCCTGTGTCCATTTGGCAAAGCCTTTTTGCCCAGTGCTGAGGGCTCCAGGCTGTGCAATCCCTGTCCTGGGTCTGCATCCCTCATGCCTTCCATCCATGGGTCCATCTCCATGGCTCAGCTCAGGCATCCCACTTCCATTTGAAGCCAGGAAGGATGAGCGGCAAAACGTCCCCAAGGCCCCTGATCCTCAGTTTCCCCGCTTAAAGAGGGCATTGCATTTCCTTCCTTCAAATTGCCATTGGGATTGGTGCTTATCCACATTCCCAAAGCCCTTTGGGATCCTCCAAAGGAAGGTTTTACCGAGAGATAAAACCCTGTTACTTACAAAAAAATACAGAGAAGCAATTTTGGAGGGGTATTGAAATGACGACTTTTCACCTCCAACCTCCCATGAAACGCATCTATTTATTTCTAAATAACACAGCTCAGCTCTCCATAAATCTCCGAGGCAGGGAACCAAGGAGGAGATGAATTATGTGCTGCTGTGACCCCATCCCTGGTCCCCATCGGGCAGCTGCCTGCCGGGCAGGGACGGAGGCTCCCGTGGCCCGTGGCTCCAGCTGCGGTTGGAAGCGTGGCGGTCTCAGAGGGATGCTCTGGCTGTTGGCTTCTGTCAGCCAGACCTTCAAATCTGCTCCTTACGATTCCTTATTTGCATTGCAAACAGCTCAAAGGAGGTATATGAGGAGTAAATAGGGTTGGGTTGGGTTTTTTTTTAAGCTAATATTGTGTCACCCTTGGAAGGGGGGGTGATATTATAAAGGGCAGGCGGGGAGATTGTTGCGCTCTCAGGGACAGTTTTTGACATCTAATTTCCAGAATTTTTTTGAAAACTCCTCTGATTTGGTGCATCAGATGAAATTTCATCAATAGCAATGGGAAACAAAATGGGAAACACTAAGGAGAAAGGGCCAAGGCTCCAAAAAACATCGGGGGGGGGCTCAATGTGCTCTTGTGCTTACTCAGAGCCGGACGCTCCCACCCAGCCCTGAACACACAGACACGCTCTCGGGGTAGGAGCCGCCTGCTCCTGCTCCCATGCAGGTTTTTCTCAGCGACTTCTAGGCCTCGACTGGGGAGGGGAAAAAAAAAAAAAAAAAAGAGGGTTGTATTTGTCTCCGTGCAATGGGAAGGAATATCCGTGCGCTGCGGCGCGGGTGCGTCGCTGGAATGAGCTCAGCGGCACCGGAGCTGCGGCTTGTGCGGAGAGATCCCAGGAGCGGGCACATGCCCTTGACACGAAATCACCCGGCGAGTAATAAAGGATTTCCTGCCTTCAGAGCCTGCTTGAGCCGGGGGTTTAGCCTGGGTTAGGCTGCGCAGCGCCCTGACAAGGTTACAGGGTCTAACAGGGCGCTGATGCCGGGAACACGCAGATATCCCTGGTTGTAGATGTTGAGGTAGCCACGGCGTGAGCTCCTCACCGGCAGGACCTCACCGTAAACAAAAAGCGCGCTCCTCTCCTTGAAATTCACCTTGAACGCGGTGAGACGGGGTGGGTTTGCCGGTTGGGGTCGGTTTGGGGCTTTTTTTTATTATTATTATTATTCGCCACCCCTTTCCCCCCACAATTGTCAGCAGAGAGGCTGCAAAAAAAGCCGAGGAGGCACTGCAGGCTGCGCAGCGCTGGGAGCTGTCAGCCCCACGCCACTGCAGTGATGTCAGCCCGCAGCCACAGCCACTGCCACCCCCAGCCCCTGCACACACGCGAGTGCAAGAAGAAGAATTCATAATTACAGTAGCGTAGCCATGAAACCAGCAGTGCTGGGGGTGGGGAGGGGGGAGAGAGCGAAGCCTCATCCAAAATTGGTGCTTTAATTTTTTTTTTTAATCTTTTTTTTTTTTTTTCTCTCTCTCTCTCTCCCTGCAAAGCTGCACCCAGCTCTGCAGCATCCTTTCTCTGCAGTGGGGTTTGGGGGAGTCAGAGCAGGGGGTTCCCCCCCGGCATCCCCCCCAAAGCGGGTGGAGGGTGCGGGGGGAGCTGGGCAGGGCTGGAGGCTCTTTCCCCGCGGGTCGCTGCTTGTTTTAAAAGGCAGCATTTCTGCGGACAACACCCGGAGCATCTCTGCGGGAGCGGGGCTGGGGGCGAGGGCTGCAGCCGCCTTGTTTGCGGCGCACGGAGTCAGCAGCTGGGATTTTTTTTTTTTTTTTGGCTGAATAATCCTTTACGGGGAGGGG